TGTTGGAGAGATTGTAAGTAATTCAATTCGATATATTGACACTTTCATATATATGCAAATCATACTTTTCTTTCTAAGAAATTTTTTGTAACACATTAAATATCATAATAATCCTGATGACTTTAATATTTCTAGTAACTTGTATGGACTATCATTATGAAACTCAACCAATACCAAATCCAATTTCTTATTATCTTCATCAAAATCTAGCATCATTCCATAAATTTGAAGTTCTCGTTAATCATTTTATTGAATTAATTGTTCCATTTTTCTGTTTTGGTCCATGGCGTATTGCTCGACATATTGCTGGAACATTACAAGTATTTTTTCAAATTCTATTAATTATTAGTGGAAATCTAAGTGTTCTTAATTGGATTACTATCGGACCGGCATTATGGTGTTTTGATGATTCATATCCATTATATAAATATCTATTTAAACGAGAAATTTTTATGAATATAAATTTTAATGGAATTCGACAACGAATAAAATATTTACGATCAATCATAAAATTAATTATATTTAGTTTAATAATTTATTTAAGTATTGATCCTGTATTAAATTTATTTTCACGTTATCAACGAATGAATTCAAGTTTTGATCGATTAAATCTTGTTAATACATATGGAGCATTTGGTAGTGTGGGAAAAATTCGTGATGAAGTTATTATAAGTGGTTGTAATAGATCATCAATTGAACAATGTAATCATGATAATGCTTGGTTAGAATATGAATTTAGTTGTAAACCTGGTAAAATTGATAGAGCACCTTGTTTTAGTGCACCTTATCATCGAAGATTAACATGGCAATTATGGTTTGAATGAATTTGTTTTTGTATTTTATATGAATTTATTTATTTTTAAGGTTTGCAGCAATGCAAAATTTACAATATAATCCTTGGCTTGTTCATTTAATGACACATTTACTTGCATCAGATCAATATTCACCTGTAAATGTTGTTTTATCTGTTGGCGGAAATCCATTTCCAGATGGACCACCTCGATTTATTAAAGCAGATTTATATCGTTATAAATTTACAAGTTTAAATAGTGGAGATAAAAATTGGTGGGTGCGAAGTAATCCACAACCATATTCACCAATATTTACATTAGGAAGTCCACAATTAAAATCAATTTTTCGACAAATGGAATGGAAAATGCCTAAAGTACCGATGCGATCGTGATTATATAGTGAATCTTATTTATATTCGAGCAGATAAATTGTGATTATGTGCTTTATTGTTAAAATATAGATTAAATAAATATTTTGATAAAGTTCAAAAAAACATTGAACGAATGTAGATATATAAATAATGGTTATTATTAAAATATTTTTTATATTCTATTAGTCAGACTTTTCTGAATATGTTCAAAACTATAATAGTCGATGGTCTTGTAAAATCTACATTTGAGTGCGGGTGTGTGGAGGGTAAGAGAAGAGAGATCCGCACTTGATTAGGCATGCTTGAATTTGCCAAAATAAATTTTATATAGTATTTTTATAAGGAAAATGAATAGTTGCAACTTAGGGCGAACTGTAGGGATGCTGGTTCTCTGTGTATACTAACATATAGTATTTATAATTTTAATAAGAGTAAATAAATTAATTATGTCTGAACTTCGATGCACTAAAATCACGTTTTTTCATTATGAAAAGAAACAAAGGATGTATTTTAAACATATATTTTATCAAAGTCATTTATATCAAACCGTGCATAAATCCGTTCTTTTTTTATTTATAAATTCCATTAATTATTTTACATTATTATCTCGTTCATTAGAAACCGTACGTTGAGTATACAAACAGATACAATATATTAAATGAATTCATCATGGGACAATATTACATTGACTTGGTATTCAACTGATTCGGATTTCGAAGTTAAACCTATCTTGAGCTTTTGGTTATTTCTTATATTTGATGTTGGCGCTATTATATGCACTATTTTCGTACTTTATCATTTATTATCAGAACGGCAAGCGAGGAATGCTCTTCATAATCACATACCAATTATTCTACTTTTTCTAGCATCTGCTATTGAATGGATTGATATACCATTTCATCTACAATATTTTCATACAGGTATTGTGTATCCATCCACGCCTATATTATGTCTTATCTGGTGGTTTATTGATTGGGGTTTCTATTATACCATTGCAGTTTTACTAGTTTTTGCATCATTTGAACGACATATTCTTATCTTTCATTCTCATCTTGTTGCTACAAGACGAAAACGTTTGATATTTCATTATATTCCTATATTAATAATCTTATTACTAATGTGTACATTTTATGTAGTAGCAATTTTTGCACCGATTTGTGAGAGTACATTTGCGTATGATGAAGATTTATGTGGTGTACATGCATGCTATGGGACAATACCATTTTTTGTTACAGTTGAAGAGTTTGTTTTTGGTGCAGCATCTATTTGTCTAATTGCTATTTTTAGTCTGACTTTATTAGTACGTGTTATTCAACAAAAGCATCGAGTTCATGGAGCTATTCAATGGAAGAAACAACGTAAACTAGCTATCCAAATGATTTCTCTATCATTACTCTATATGACGTTTTCCTTGCCATTTACAATCATCTATCTTGTTCGATTATATGGGCAATCGGATTGGGGTGGTGAAGTTTTACCACTATTTTTTTTTCTTTCATATTTTACTATTCTATTATTACCATATGTATGTCTTAGTAATTTACCTGATCTTTGGAAGAAATTACAAATATGTCCTGCACGACAGCAACGAGTAGGTGTAATAGTACCACATGCATAAATGTATTTATTTTAGTTTTTTATCGTGAAAACTTTTACGGATATTTTGTGTAACACTAATTATATATCCATATATAGAATTATTTAACGGAATGATGAACTTTTTCTTTCAAGTTTCTGCATGAATGAGAATAAATACGGTGAACTAATGATAGAACCTCAAGTTATATCTGCAGAATAAATCAAAAGGTTAACATTCTTTTTGTTTTAAATGTATTGTTTCATCTATATACGTATATATGTTTTAATTAACTAATAAAAATCTTCATATAGAAAATTTCTCTAATCCCTTCGTTCACTAGTAAAACAAAGACTAGGTATTCACTACATTTTCTAGATATAATCTATTTGTTCAAACTATTTTACACATGATGAGTAAGGGTTTAAATAGTAATAAAATGCATAAAATAAGATCAATTGTATCTGTTGTTACTTTCTAATCGAAAAAATCAATGAAAGAAACTTTTAAAATTATCCGATTGTATCCATTGATGAATGAATGAATTGAAAGACTTCCTAGATTGCACGTCTTGAACACTTCTATTCAGAAAATTTCACTACACAATTACAATCACTTATTCATATACATAGGCAAAGAAGAAAAAAATATATGCAAATTAACATCATTTCATATAGGTAAGGTCACTAATCATGCATATCTTTCAAATTAAGCGTAAATAATTCACAACAAAACATGCATTAAACGATTTACTTCATTCGTTATAGATGAGTTTTATATGATAATTTTCGTAGTTCAGTAGTAAAGTTAAATATGAAGATCATATAATTGAACATTTTTTTATTCGAAATCGAATATATATTCACTTAAGGAAATGTATCAAATAAATAACATAATAGATAGATGTATACTTTTAGACAAAAACAAGTTTTATATCGATGTCGCTACTTGACGACTGATTTACTCAGTATTTTCTTTCTGCCCAACCATATAATTTTGACAAGTTTATCAGCTGATTGATTGACAACTATGATCAAATGTTTTGTTTTACTATTTTTTACAGTCGTAATTAACTTTTTCTTCGATAAAATATCATTAATGTCTTACTACTAGCGAAAAAACATCCATCATTATGCTATCAACTTTAATTTTTTCCTTATTTCAATAGTAGATAATTAAGACTTTATGAAGATATGTGGATAAATAAAACTGCTAATAGTCCTTCATATATCTTCAAATAATTCATCATTCCATTATGTAATCAATATCATCATATGTTCAAATGTCATTAGTATATCCCTCTAGTTCTCACCCACATTCTTTTATCCCCTGATCGACTGTTGGTGATTATCATCTAGCTTACAGTAACAGCAAGGATATCTTTCAATAAACATTAGTTATATCATTGATAGTTAACTATCGAATCATTTCTAACAGAAATAAATAGCATACTATCTATTATTTTTCTAGATAATACACAAAAAATAAAATTCTATTAATTAGAAAAGTATGTATTCTTTTTTTCCTATATAAAAGCGTATGATTCGGTTTTTTTTATCTTGTGAGATAATAAACTAAAAAAAAAAGTTATATTTATATCACAAACGAATAAAGTAACATATGAGATAAATGTTTTATCTTGAGTAGTACTTCAATGTTGACTTATTTCGAATGTCAAAAAATCTATTAATGATAATGAATATCATTTGTTAAACTAATAAAAACGAATAATTGATTCTTTTTTTCTGTTTTTCCTCAGAGATTTAAGCCTTCACACGCTATTACTAATGGAAATTTCTACTTCTCTTGATGTATAATATGCATAATTAAGTTAGGAAAAGAATATTTCTTTTTATGGCTTGAAAAAAAAAAGATTCTCCCCATAGTGTTAAGTCACAACACAAAATCAGATTTTCAACAATATATAATCTTCTTTTCATAAGCAAATGATACATTGACTTCTTATTATTAAGATTAATATTATTCATGTCATTAAATGGTCTAAAATAAACTTTTGTAAATATACTAGATGTCCTTGAAATCATTTTTATAGTTACCAAATGAATATTTATTTATTTTGCATTCATGTCACATTCAGTTTTGAGTTATAGCGCATGCAAAGAGCACGTGTTCTCTTATACTCTTTAGTCAGATATAAATAAAAATAAAAAAGAAGAAAAGGTGTTTCATTCGACTCTTTTACGTATCTATTAAAATACCATAGGAAGATATAAATAAAGCAAATAAAATTTACTTAAGGTAATCAAGTGTATTTTCTTATAAACTCTTAGAATTTAATTAATTATTCGTATTTTTCAGTCGTTAAGTAGGAAAAAACAAGAGAATAAAAAAAACAACCCAAATATGATTATTCTTATGGTAATCATCTATAAAGTATAGGCTTGTACAAGAAGAAAAAATATATAGAACAGAAAGATATATATACAAACCACAAACAGCCAGTATTATTGGCGTTGCCTATAACTAACTCAATAGAGATTGTTATTTAACATAAATGCATATAAACACATAGCTAAGTGTCTGTTTCGGACATAATTAATCAAAGAATTCCGCAAAATTAAAACGGTAAATACATTCACTATTATATTAACTACAAAAAAA